CTTGCCTATCTTATTGTCACTCTGTATACTTCTATGGTTACCGGAGTTTTAAATAATTACGAAGCAACAGGTATTTGCGCAAAGTTACTTAGGCAGATTACCTTGAAAAACATTGCTGCCGTATCTCTGATATAGTTTTTTGTAAATTTCTCAGTTTTGAATAACAATTTCTTTTACTATTTTTTCTGTATTCCTATAACAGCGCCAGACAACACCTCCAGAGGAATGACGCCAATTTTGAATCGCCCTGTATATATTTCAATTCAGTATTACGCTGCGATCATGATTCTACCTGTTACAACTGAATCCGTAAATGAGGGTATAATAAATATTTCCAAGGTAAAAAAATAAATGGCGGCGTCTTAGGCGTCATATATTTTCCGCTTTTGCAAAGATTTCTCCGTTTTGCATAAAACTTAAATTATGCGCGAGGCAACTTAAAAAGCTTTCAGTATTATAAAATTTTTGCGTTTTTCTGGATAACAATTAAGACGGTAACATCTGACTAACTAAAGGAGGTTTTTAAACGGACTGGCATAACTTTACTTACTTAATTTATATTTAAGTACATTTTTGTACCTGACAAAATAAAAACGAATCAGACAATTTTAGGTAAAACGTGATGATTTTCATGGTGGAACTATAAATTTGTCCGTCAGATCCGTTAATGAGCTTTAGTCAGAGCTTCTTTTCTCGTTAAAACCTGGATTTGTGTTTGAGTTTCCAAGGCAGAGGTAAATTATCAATAAACGGTTACGGTGTGGCCACTTTTACTTTATTCCAGAACTTTTGATTTTCTTGACTATTATATAAATAAATTGACCGATTTGGAGTTTGGCCATATAAGATAAACTTGATTCATTTCTGACATGATTATTAAAGCTTTGAAATGCACAGTTAAAAACTCATCACAAAACCGGTGGAACGCTGACGGACCAACTCCTGCTCATATGCATTATTTGACTGAAAAGAAGTAAATTACTAAAAGAATAAGTGCAACAACAATTATCAATCTAATTGAAATATTTCAATTAAATAGCAGTATGTGGCTATATCGTTTAGTTTAATCCTAATCCAGTGCTAAATGCATTACGACAGTCTGTGAATTATGGTCTATATATGTCTATCTCTATCATGATTCTTTTATCAGTACATTTAAAATACATTTAAAACCAACCCCCTTTTGTGAATTTCATCTGAAAATTTATCGAAGGAAGAAGCTTGTAGAATTGCAGAAATGAAGCAAAGGAGAACAAGTAATGAAATATGTGAGTCACCCAGACATTGGAACAGATCAAAAAAGTCTTCGCAAATAAGTGATTTAAAGAAGTACACGCACTTAACGGAATGAAATGATGTTGACAACATCAAATGAAGAGCCTTTTAAATTTTTGAGAACTTGCACAGAGAAGAGCTGATAAGGTTCGCTAGAAAGGACCAAAAGGAGACGCTGATGTAAGTCTGGTATGTCGACAAGATTTTAGAGACATTTTCTCCAAAGCTCTTAAAAAATAACAGTCAGATATAAAAACGGTTGATAATTTGATATGTTACGAAGTACAAAAGAAGATTCAAACCTGCCAAATTGTGAATGCAAATGTTTTTTTTTCGATGAACTGATCACTAGCGCGTAAAGCAAAATTTGTGTTACCTTTGCCGACTTTTATTAGAGATTGTTTTTTTTTCAAAAAATGGTTCACTTGGCACTTACACTGTTTTTCAATTTTACCCTTCAGTGATTTTAGATAGTTGTTTGTACTGAATTGTATAGGAAAGAAACATGTCAGTCGACACTTACGGAAATACTTCTTTTGCAACTTTGGCTATTGCAAGCTAAAAAATGGTTGTCTTGTGTTGTAAATAATAGCTTGTCGCAGCTACTACTGGACATAAGCTTCTTTTAATCCACGCCATTTATTTCGGCCTGGGACATATTGGGTCCATTTTGAAAATATCCTTTTCAAATCCTCCGTTCTTATAGTTTGCGTTCTCCCTTTGTTAATGCCTTTTTCACTATTATGATGCCATTTTAATCTTCTCTTTGGCACTAACGTTCTTGCACAATGGTCAACCCAGTTTGATCCTAAGTGCGTGTCTCTCTGAATTGTATCCATAACTGTTTCTTCAACGTAGTTTTTCTTATCGCATACGTTTAATAAGGCAATGATACCTTACTATCAGCGGATAACTGAATTTGCATGTGAACGATGTACAAGTTGTTTTTCATTATTAATATGGATTGGAACACAATTTCCATAGAAACTCCATTACAGATGCGTCCTGGTATATGTATGTCAGTGTTTCCATCCGAAACTTTGTCACAATTTTTATTTCTTAAATTCATAGTAGACAAATGTTTGCTTCTATTTACTACTAGAACTATGAGATACACACTGCTGTCTAAGAATGGAAATTGGGACGAACGAAAAACAAAGTTGTAACTTTTATTTTCTTCCCGAATCAAGTGACTAGCAGCGTCATAAAACGAGACTCAAGACTGGTTAATGAATCCCTCCATTTCCAGCAACCATTTTTATCGTTAAAAGCGGCATTTGAGCGTTACAGCATTAGTCTTTTTGCGTAAAATTTGATATCATTTCGCCATTTTATTACGTCTGTTAAATTTTCCAACATTTTATGAAATTTAAATTAGACAGGCATTTGGTAGCGGTAAATTCTGATAAAATCTTTTAATAGTAGGTATAAGAGTTACTCGTTTTATCAAGGAAGCCTTAGCTTTGCAATTAAATTAAATTGCCAACTGAATTTCCTTCTTGCTTGCATTGCTGATCCTAATTTTTTCCCAACCTGTTAACTGAATAATTTTCTTAATTCGAATCCTGTTTCAACGGGTATTCAGTTCTTGATAGAGTTTATCTAAAATTATTCCACTTTGGATTTTCCACTGCATAATTGATCACATGTTGAGAAAGTCGCTTCCCGTTTTGAGCAGCGTGTATAAGTAAATATAACTAAAACTATTCGTTAAGTAATCTCTTCAGAATATTTTTGGGTTTGGTTTGAATTTCACTAGGCATATTACAATGCACAGCTGAAAAGATTGTTAATAAACAGATTGTCCTTTTCATTTGCACCTGCAAAATTGGAATTTTAGCCGTAGCACCAAGTAATCTTATTCTAAAAGGACAAGTGAAAACTCAACAAACTAAGCTGAACAATGAATATCAACTTTTACACTTAAGCTCAACATTTGCGAAATCCAATATGTTAGTTAACTAGTTTTTCAACTGATCACGAAAATTTCCTACGAATTTTGATAAAATATCTAATATAATATATAAGCGAAAACTTATTGCGCGCTACTTAAAATCAATTTATAGTTTTAACATATGATTTTTAATATTTATCCGACGGGTTTCAATGATCTAGTAATGGCTTTTACGATAAATAACTTGAACGTCGTACATAATAAGGAAGAGTTTCCTTCCTAAAGTCGTAAGTTTTCTAGCCTTAATTATTAATAACCAAAACCACCTTTTCTACTTGATAATTTTTTATTATTCTCATGTGCTTACTTTGGGAATTTCCAGATTTATGAATATAAATAACGCTAAAATTTCTGCACATTGAGTTTTACTTTTTTCCTCCAGTTTATTCAAGATCGTGTTAGTTGTCATTTTCTTTTTCTGCGTTATTTCCATACTTACTTGTTGCAACAATTTTTCCAGTCACTCGTCTTGCACAGCATTGAACTTTGGTTTCCAATTTTCTGGTTTTTTTCCTTGAAAAATATTCATGTACTTTAGGAAACTTTCTGACCTTTAGTGAGCAAAACTACCTTTCGACCTTGATAATATTTTATTTTTCCCATTCGCTTACTTTTTCACTGATTTATCAGTACTAGAGAATTTACTAGTTTAGAAACGTAAATAACGTAAAAATTTCTGCACCTTGAGTTTTACTTGTTTTCTTCAGTTTATCAAGACTGTCTTACTTTCTATTTTTTCCATATTTTTCTACTTCTTTCTATACTATTTTTTTTCTACTTTATTCCACACTTACTTCTTGCAGCAATTTTTGTTATCACCCGTCTTGGACAAGAACGAACTATGGTATTCAATTTTCTGGTTTGTATCCTTAAAAATTATTCATCAACATTCATCAAAAAAGTTCAAAGCTCAATATTCTTGATAAATTTTTTTTTTTTTTTCATTTATATTGAGCTTAAAACCAATTAAATACATATACCCATAGCTCAGTGAGTGCATCCATTATATTAGTTTTGCCAATTTTTAACTGTTATTTGAGAGTTGCTTTAATTAACGTTAAAAGCGCACTCAACATAATATTTTATCGTTTACAAGAACTAATCTTCGAATCTGTTATCGGGGTCTGGTAATAAAGGTTTTTTTCTGGCAAAAATTTCTAAAGTTGATAGAATTCTAGAAATGGGCTGAAGAGGTGCAGTTAAACTTTAGAAACAAATTGGGAAAAGTGGTATTTTCAGCTCAAAGGTTGCCATGTGGAGAAGCAGTTTTTACCAATTACATCTAGTGAAATGGAATTGCATCCCAGCGTTATCTCGACAACTTTTTGCAATCCCGTAAATAAAGGTTGTTCACCGCTTCAAAATGTCAACATAAATAGTATTGTTATACTCCAATAACCTTATGTAACAAAGTCCAAAGTGAAGATCCAGACAACTTCAGTCCGAGGATATTTGACTAATAATTGTTATGATGGAAAGGACCGCTTTTCTTAGCCACTGATAATTGTATTTACGTTTAAAAAAATATCAAAATGTTTTGTTATTTTTCTTAAATCTCAGCAGCCTGCAAATCCATATCAAAACATTTTGAGATTCAATTTAAATGGTAGGTTATGGCATTCTTCATTAAACTAGCACCCTTCAACACGAACCACTTATAATATGTGTTTTCGACAACACCGATGTATTTATTCCTTGGAATTAGCAGCTTTAAACGCATGGCAGAACGTTGCGATGCTGATAATAGCTTTGGATTTTATGCAAAAATTAGTATAACATAACAGCTTTATTTTTACTGAAAGTTTCCACAGAAAGTAAACTAATTGCAACTACAATCAATAATAATTAAACAATACTCGAAATATAATAACTTACTGTGTATTTCAACCAGTATATTCCACAATTCTACTCAAATATAGTACAAACTTTATAACGCTATATCTAAAGTAAACAGCTGTAGACGAATATGTGTCCCTTGACATATTTGACTAGAAAAGTTATTTCCATTAAGGTAATTGTCTATAAATTGTTGATACTAATCGGTATAAGGACAATAAACACATAAATAATGATTTGTTGAACGGAAGCTCTCGACGATGTTTGAGTAACTGAAACAAAATTAATTATTAGTAAAGGCGGAAAATTAATATATGGTACTTTGAGTTAACAAAACTGATATGCAGAAGTTTCCAATCGAATTGTTCAATCTGTTAATTGAACAATATCGGCATGAGTAATTTCGCTATACGGCAATGTTTCAGAGATAATATTTATTGTTATAATGCAAGTCGCTAGGATTTATGATATGGCATAACATAACACTTATTTTCCTTCATACATTTTAACTTGAGAATACCCTACTGTAATAACACCATGGTATTATTCGATGCTCTCTTCTGATCGATATATTGCGTCAAAAGCAGTTCATCTGAAACTAGACTTTGGAAATTCAATTAGACACGCATTAAAAAAATAGTTCTGCAGGTTTTGATGCGTTAAGAATAATTGTTATTGCAACACACAATAAAAAGACAATATATGCTGTAGCCGATACGAAAATAGTACTTTTTAACTACTATTGCTACGAAAAAATATATTCAAAATCAATCATACGAGTGGGTAAATTTTTTGTTTATTTTAATGTCTATATTATGCCTTAAATGGTAGCGATGCGGAATGAAAGTATCTCTTAAATTCCCCAAAAAACTTAAAACCTTAGCAACCATGGTCTTTAAAAATTGGGGATGTCGTTGATAAATATCATATTTTATAATCGTTTAATAAAAGTGGTTTTCGGCTTTGCGTCGATAATAAACTTACTGAGAAAAGTTTTTTTGCCCGAACTCTAGATTCTATTCCTGATGTTAATGCAAAGATCTTTTGTAGCATTAGAATATACCGTGGCAATCTCGAATATCAAAAGCGTCTCATATAATTTGGACAGCCGCTAATAAAATTAATTAGTCACCCGTGCTCAAATGGTGTGGGTGTAAAAATACCCTCAAGGAATTGAAGGAAATGGGTCTACAATTTAGTAGTAAATTCATCAACACAGCATAATATAATGAACAGAACCACTCAATTGTAATAAATCTATGTATAAGATGTACGACTAAAACCGCTTTAAGAAATGTGGTATTTTTAATTATGCGAAAATGTTTTGTAAACTGATTTTTTTTGCATTTTTTTTTTAATCCGTAGGTTTTCTTTGTTATTCTCCGTTGTCAGTTACATATTTTTACGCCAGATATTCATTGAATGCGACCAAGCCAAACCAATCTACTTAAAGTTTAAATTTATGGACAAGGTGTTGACCGCAATTTTAAAGATATCGAGGTGAAACGTGGAACACAGCTACAGTTTGACCACAACGACTGGCCGAATGGCGGGGTATCCAACAGCACCAGGGCTTTGCCCTCACAAGAGCTCCCGAAATATTCGCAACTTTGGATACGATTCTTATTGAATATTTCTAGTTATGTTATAAAAGAGATCTCTTTTCTACGTGCGTAATTTATAAACGGAATATTTTCAAATCACTTTTGTATCTGTCGAACTGTGCTCACCAACGGAACTGCTCAAAATATTGGCTGAACCGTATACACCATTTCTTTAGCCTTTCTGGAGCATTGTCTTGCACCAATTGAGTGTCATCAAATCAGAAAAACACCGAAAACTGATACCTCGGAAATCGGTAGAAAATATTTCGTTATTCCTAATGCTTGACGATACATCTCCAATCCAGCGCTTCCCTTGGCATTGAGTCAAATTTTTCGCTTCCACAAGAATCAATTCATATATGATGAATTATTGAACATTTTCACTCACACCACGGATACGACTAAAACCATCAGATAAGCATTAGGGCCTTTTCGGGAGAGGGCTTTTGGAAATATTTTCACAAATTGGGCTTCAAACCTTGATAAAATATTTGATTAATCATGATGAACTTTTAGGTGGAACGATTTGGGAACTCTTTTAAAAAATACGCCCCAGTAATAAAGTTAGAAATACACAAAAACAGATTCTATAAAGGGAGAGATATTCCCAAAATGATCAACTTTTTGGACGGTTATATAATATTTCTAACATTTTGACCTATTTAGCAAAAGTAACTAATTCCATATAAACATTAATAAAACTTAAATATTAATTAAAACTTATTACTGCTGATCCTGATGGATTCAGATGGATCACTCTGTAGACATAAACCTATCGTGCTTTGCTGCAATTTAATTAATGGAATTTTTCAATAAACCGTGACCTAACTTTGTAAATAATGCGACTGGTGTGAATAGAATAGTTGAAATATGCTTGTCGATAAATCAACAGTGAGCACATCCCAAAGAGTTAATTGTATCCAAATATTGTGACTTTGCCAAGAACGCTGTTACAGTTAGTTTAGTTTGGGTCAATTTTCATTAACTTCGGATAAGTTACTGTTATCCACAGGCACTTCGATTTCCTGCCAGAAAGTTTATAGAGACATGCCGTAATTAAATCTTGGACTTGTGCGAAGTACACACACCTTTACTATGACAATGCAATTTCAAGCATTACTTCACGCTCCTCTAGTTTACTTGCGGCCATTTGTTGCAACGTTTTGTATTATTACGAGTAATATTAGTTCAGTTCTAGTGTCTAACAAGAAATTGTGAATAACACGTTTAGGATGTTTGCTTAATTCTCTACCAAATTCGAAAGCTCGAAGTTTTATATAACTAACAACAAAAAATAACAAAATAATATAATTGCCTTTTGGGTGAAAATATTAAAAATAATGCTGATTTGTTAATAACTATTTGTATTTTTGTTACCCCTACTAGAAACAATTTATTTTTTTTCTGCTGCTATGTGAAAAAAAATATACAAATTAGTTTCTGTGTTTGCAAATGTATTGTATTGTTGCTTAAAAACAATATTTGACTTAATCAAATTATTCCGTACATTTGATAAACCGATAGGGTTTACTGTTTTTCGTGTGGAGCGAAGTTGATTAATAGATGGATCAGAGGAGGCATTCATGCACTGATAAGTTGGCCACCAAGATCACCAGATTTAACAACGCATGTTAACGATTTAAATTTTAAGGCCGCAGATTATTCTAAAAACAAGCACGACACGATGTCAAAAGTACATCGTACTTTCTTGAAAAGACACAATTTATGCCTCCGGGATTAAAATAATGCAATTAGTTCAGTTACTCAGAATTAAAACTTTTCCATATCGTTTTTTGGATCTGAATAATTAAAAATCAGAAATTCAAAGTATCGTAATTATTTGTACGGGATCTAAAGGCCATGTAAAAATTTTACAATAGCCAAAAAAGTTTTAAAGCTAGAAGAAAGAAGAAAATAAGCTAGTAGGACAAAAAAATTAAAATTATTTGTACAGAGTGTAACAAAAATACGGACGTTTATTAACGAACCAGGCGTTATTTTCAATATTTTCTCGCATTAAAAAAGGATCAAATTTGCGTCAAAACACGTTAATTTATGTAGTTCAGTTGATTCGAAACTTACTGAAATTTGCTAATGGCGATAGAAATTATTTGGGAAAAACTATATTAATGTAAAAGTTTGGCGCCCTGTAACGGTAAAATGAAAGAACCTTTAAATATGGGTAAGCTTGCCTAGATCGCCTTATTTGCGGACAGGAAATTTGTATTTAAGCATTGTACAGTCATTTCAGGGACACCCCGTATATGTAAGTATATTCCTCATGAAACAACCTATAATTCTGCACATTATTTACCATTGGCGCCTGACATGAAACAACATACTAGGAGTTGCAGAGCAAAAGATATACTAACATTATACATTTTCAATAATCGAGAAAGGCAACCTTTTAAATAGACTTATTTTCCCAATTATTGTTAAAAACATGTTTATAGCCACTAATTTGTTAAAGAGCTAAATAACATGCCACCCAAAATCCAAGCATTTGAACACATTTTAGCATTGATTGAGCTCTCCATAGAGAAAAACAATTTTCTGAAAGAAAGTTCACCATTTCTGCGTCTTCGCTAAGTTTTAATTAAAGCCACTACGACGTGAAAATATTGGAAGATATTATATTCGCTTACTCAAGAGGAAAATTAGTGACACCGCCAAGTGGGGTGGTAACACCTGCCCTTTTCCGAACTCGTGAAACTGAGAAGAGTTATACCGTGTTTGAAAACGCAAGAGATAAAAAAAATAATCGGCTTTTCCGCACCGCCGCCTGTGCAGCTGAAGTCGAATGGTCCGATTCAATTTCGATTTGAATATAGATACGTTGGTAATTTGAAGACACCGATTGATTGATATTGTTAACGTTGCTGCCGAAAAAACGTTTGAAAGCAGAAATGAAATATTTTTTGGAGATTAGCTTTACCAAATAAAAAAGAATAAGAACCGTGTTTAAATTGAATATGATATGTTCAGTTTAATTAGGTGGGATCGTACTATCAGGGAAAAAATTGAATGATAGTTTTAGGGCCTCTTTCGGAATAAGAACCAATAGCGTCGCAAAATAATCAAATACAAATTCTCGTATAGCTCATTTATTTGAAGCAGAACTGAAACGAAATTAATTGTTACTACTTGTTTGACATATGCTTGCTATCAATTACTCATTCGAAACCTATAGTTCCAATGTTTTATTCTTAGTTCTGCAAATCAATAGTTTCATCAACAATTAATAATCAGCACAAATAGTAAGTAACAATAATAAAATATAACACTTTAAATATTTAGTTTACAAACCCCCATAATTCGGTTGTGCTATAATTTTTTCTTCTGTTTTACTAATAAAAATCATTTATTTTCACAATTCCGTCCAAATAATTGTGTTGTAAGTCTTTGCACAAAAGTTCAAGGGGCGAAATCGGGTCGAATTTGTGACTTGTGAAGCTAATTGATACGCTGCAAGAAGCTTAATTTGAACATCAGTAATAGATTATGTTTTCAATATATTTGGGTATACGATAATAAGGGCACACGGGGTATCAGGAGTAGTTACTTCTATGGGAAATCGCACTGTTTAGTCAAATTAAGGACATTTGCCCGATATAACTAGAGTTGCAATGTAAGACTCGAAAATCAAATAATTTTCCTGGAAATGATGG